AGGCATGGCTGAACAGTGACAGCCATGGTGGCCCACTTTGGATCCAGCTCAGAGCTGCTGCATTTTTTTTTTTTGAAAGCACCACGTTCACTTTCTTCACATTGCCTAAAGGAGCATTCCTCCTTTTTTTCCTCTCTTTTCCTTACATTGTTCTGTAGTATCCATATTAGAAATGCACAGGCAGGGTTTGGATTGAATCAAATCAAACCAGGCCAGTGACCCACCATTGTTTTTCAGGTTGCCCTCTAGTCCTCTAGAATTGCAAAGAAAATCTGCAACGCGTGAACTCCCCCAGTCCAGTTCCGGGGTCCGGGCCTGAAACACACTCTGCCTCTCACTTCAGATGAGTGCTAATGCAAATGCCCAGTGATGACCAAAGCATGTGATTACTAAGAAGACTGCTGATTTGTGAGGAGTGTGCTCTTGTGGAGTCACAAATGGAAGGTATTTGAGGGAACCCTAAAAACTCGCCTGTGGATCCAAAAAGCCAGATTAAAAAGATTAAACTGAGGGACTATCCCATCCTTACTGAGGAGGAGACAGTTCCATGGAGATTAGTGCAGCATCAAAGCCAGCAGGGACCTTGTCTGCTCCAGTCAGCAGGTCTGCAACTAAGCTTCTCTCCTGGCTTTAATGGCTGCTTGCAGACTCGGGCGCAGTTGGTTACAGTTGGACCACATTGTGAAGCTTTTCTTTGCAAATGTGAAATCTTTCTTGAGCTTATTTTCACCAAACACTTGGATTGTGATGTTGCATGATTTTAGAAACCCAGGTTGCAGGATATTGAACCCTGGTGCATGGGCCCTGGCCTGGAGGAGCCTAGCAGAGCATTCATCTGCACAGTATACTTCAAATGGTGTTTCCAGCGGGAGGTGGTTGGTTTGCGGTCAGATCTTGGGATAAGAGTACTATTCTGCCCTCCACATAAAATGCCAAATTTGAGTGTCCGGCAGAATCCTACCACTACTGGCACAAGAACCCTTGCAGTTTATTAATATTTGAAACAATCTCCCTGTAGCTTTCTGCTTTCCAGACTGCATTTCCTCAAAACATGCCCCTAACTTTTGCTCTCCAGTTAAGTGTGGTAAGTGTGTTGTGGTGCATTA